ATTAAAAATTCTTTGCTACTGTTTTTAGTTCAAGGAATCTGGGAACAGGTAGAGGTGTTATTTCTAATTGCACATTTGGCAAGCTTTTTTTGTTGCTCTTCTAATGTCAGTAAGCAAAAAACAATACAGTTCAGTTTAACAGCTCTGATTTCCTTTTTGAGAAAAGAATGCAGCTAATTAAATAATATCTCCTGCTGAACATATTCAATGCATGCTGTCAGAATAATATTTACCATAGACAACCAAGTTTGTGGCAAACTGCAAATCTGGAATAATCTTTTGAGAGTTGAGCTGTATCATTAATGACTCACTACTTACCTAGTGTTTATACATTAGAAGAATCATTCCTAATTTTTACTTATATTAATTTCTTTAATTTTAGGCGCAAATGTAATGTTGGACAGTTTGCTCCTCTCATTGGAACAAAAAAGAACGAATTGAAAGAAAGATTGATGAGACAAGATATTCCATTGAGATGGTATTCTCGGGAAAGCATTGCAATGGAAACCTTGAAAGAAGGTTCTGAACACATAGATGAATATGCTAAGTCTACACAAAACCATTTTACCTCTGAACCTTCATGTTCTGTTTATTCCTATCACACCCTCTGTTCTTCAGAAACATCAAGAAAACTAAATGGCAATACTGAAAAAAACAGAATACCTAAACATTCAAACTTGAAAGAAATAATTTTATCAACAAATTTGGTACAGCTTCCTCCTCCAAAAGAAAGTATGGCATATATGAAAAATTTGCCAGAAATTTATGAACACTATGAGCCACTATCAAGACAGAATACACTGGGATTGTCAGCAAATCTAAACTCACTACATGCTCAGATCCAAGCATCTGAGTACAGTGAAAGAAATAACACATCAAAGTCAAAACGAAAATTGAGTAATGCAGTTCTTCTGCCAGCAAAATGTTTGAAGAAAGTAGCTACTCATTTACCAATTGACAAAGAATTTGTTAACTGTAATGTGGTAAGTAATTTTCCAAGAGAACTTTCAGTTGCTTTAGAGTCAGAAAAGCCATCTCATAGTTTTCCTGCAAACAAAGATCCAGTTTTGTTGACAGACATTAATATACAAAGCTCACCTTCAATAAAACTCAGCAAAAAAGTCATACATTCCATGGGGCGGAATAAAAAAGGAAATCAGAAACAAAATATGGAATTATGCTTACAGCAGGTAGAGAAGCCACCTGTTCTGGAAGAAACAAATGAACAAAGTTCATCAACCCAAGCTCTATTACAATTGTTTCAGACCAGTGATGCAAATTCAGATTTTAGGGGTTTTTCAAGTATACAGGAGAACAAAGGTTCAAGTTTAATGAAAAATAGTTGGGAAGACCAGCATACAGATGCCCTCTGGTCTTTGTTTTCTACATCTGTCTCCTCATCACCATTTACTGGATTTTAATGTTGCTTTATTTAAAACAATGGGTATAGAATAAACATGCAAATTTAAAAAAATGTGAATATGTGTTTCTATAATAAATGATTATAATAATGATTGTTTAAACCACTATGTGCATATTATTCCAATTGAGTTCATACTTTTGTGCCTGCTATTCATTATTTCACTAACTTTGCAGACAGAAAGCTATCACAATCCTTATAATAAATTATTTCTCATAAGGTTCTATTTTTACACATGTATGTATATAACTTATTAGAGGCATTTGTTGCCTTGTCTTAGCACATAAATTCTAGAGTAGAATATATGTTATAGTAAAATACCAATTTTGTGGTCTTCAGATGCAATGGACAAAAGTTTCATTTAAGCATCACAGGTAAATCCATTAAATGCTAAGTAATCTGAACAAGGCTCTTAAATGTATATTAAGTTATATTTATATTGCTTCTATCAATTTGTGTCATTTGTGTAATGACATCATTATACAGATAGAATAAATTGCAGTTATGGCATACTTTTGGATTTAAAAAAACATTTATAAGTAACAAGCTCTCCCCTAAATTGTCTGTTAAATTGAGATTTTACTGTAATGGAGAATTAGGATTTCTTTATATAGCAATTTGGAGTCAGCTTCTAAAACTGGCTAAATGCCTAGCTAAAAGACAGGAAGTGACATACAGAGTTCCCTGCCAACATACGTGTTCTAAGAATAGTGTTTAAATGCTTAGAAGCATCTAATCTCTCCATCACAGTGGTTGAAATTTTGAGGCTGTTAAACATTCTCATTCTGGGATCTACAAGATCCAAAGTATACTTTCCTCTACAGCATACTTTGACCACATTCCTTATGGAATTAATCTAGCTGAATGGATAAGAAAAAAATACAATTTGTTTAAGCTATCTGACCTTATGGCAACTGTTCACAAAGTTTTTCCTTATGTAAATACATTATATTTGTTCTTTTTGAGAACAAAAACAAATCTAAGGATAGGAAACTGGATATTATGCCTTAATGTAGTATTCCAACTTAAAACTTTCTGAGCAAGTATCTATATTGCCTCTGCTGGAAGGCATTGAGAAAAGAACCCTTTCCCGATGTGTGTGTCCTTCAGGTGTGTAGACTTTTATTGAAAATGGCAATACTGTTTGAGAATTCTGAAAAATAAAAATCCACACAATAGAAGGTTAGTAAACATTGTTTTTGGTAATTGATTTGAATAGTGATCTGCTCTCATAGTTTGATTTTTTTTTAAATACTCAACCAGCATCTGCCTTCCTGTTATTTCACATCATTTCTTGGGTCTTGACTTTGTAGTAGTAAACACAAATTATGGCTGCCTTATGTGGAACAAGCCAGTTTGATCCAGTGATTAAGGCACCAGGCTAGAAATCAGAAAATGTTGAGTTTTAGTTCTACCTTAGTCATGAAAGGTAGCTGGGGGTTATGCTCATCATAAACAACACTACAGGTTGTTTTTGTGGGACACTATATTAAGTATCCAATTTGCTACTTTGAGCTATTTATAAAAAATAAAGATGAAATACAAATATCTTTGGATATTGTACTTGAAGAGTGCTATTTCCTTTCCCCTCCTCTGCTTGGCCAAGTGTGATTAGACACCCTTTGGAATTTGTCTCTGGTGCATAAGCTCTCAATGTACATACAAGCAACAATTGATAAATCATGATTATAACCATAAATTACCATCATAAATATCTCTGCATATGATTTTTCCTAAGTGAATTAACATGCTTTCTCTAAACTATCAGCACATTTAACTAATTTAATTAGATCTATTGAACCAATTTATGCATCATCTGCATTCTCTCCATCTTGCCATTCAAAGTTATAAGAATAATATTGCCATGTAATCTAATTGTATTTTGAACCACTGATGACACACTTATGGTTTCAAGATACTGTTAGATCCTAATCCTAAATCTAATCTAGCTGCCAGCTGGCAAACAAATATGTGAGCTTTGTCTAAATTTGAGAAAACCATACTTATATTTTTGCAAGTTTCTAGTTTTGGTGCCTTGCCTGCAAAGTGAAATAGTTTTGAATGTCACAGATGTTATTGCCTTCTCACCTGAAGGAAAAAATTTTGCTGGATTATAAATTAGTAATCCTGGAGATGGTAGAGTAGATTAATTACTTCAGCCCAACTTCTGACCCACAGATTTCAATTTCAACATCTGGAATGTTAAAAAATTCCCAAAAGATGTTATTGGGTTCTCAATTCTTTCTTCTGATTGTGTCTTTCTGGAAAGTATTGGGCTGAATAAGTTCAATAGTGTTGAGGGTTGTAAAAGACACAACTACCGTTCTAGAAAATGGCATTTAAAAACAAGCATGTTATGGTGCATTTTCTCCTTATATGTTGTCTGATTGGGAACTTTGGAAGATATAGTCTAGCAAAGGGGCCTCCAACCCCCAATCTGGATCAGTACTAGGCTGCGGCATGCCCGCAATTGGTCTGCACAAACAACCAAAGCCCCATCCACAAAATTCAGGCAGCACACAAAACCACACACCCCCAGGTCCACGGAAAAACCTTTCTCCACGGAATTGGTCCCTGGTGCCCAAAAAGTTGGGGACCTCTAGTCCAGTAGACATCTGCCTCCAGAGAGCCATATTAAACATAATAGTTTATAAATATCATGGAGATAAAATCAATAATGGCTGCCTGGGTTAAGAGAGGTCATAATTTTTAACTAGTTCATTTTGCAAACAACAGTGGCCTGGTACCATATAAAGCTAAGCCATGTTGGCTACACTTACACATCAAATATAATATGTAATTTGTTTAGTTTTAGCACAAATTTATACAATAGCCCAACTTAACATCACTCTGAGTGGCGAACAATGCATATTCCCCATAATTCATTAAAATAATACAGACTAAAATAAAAATGAGTCATAATTGAGGCACCACATAACAATTCTATAAAACACAATGTTTTGGATTCATATAACATCCTCATGCAATCTAACCAATTATGGTTTTTTAAAAAGTAATTGAGCAACCTATCAACTTGGAAAATGAACTGTAGTAATGTGTGAATCCAATTAATGTGAAGAGATTCCAAGAACTTCACTCCAAAGTAGCTTCCTAATCTATTTTCAGGAGTGTTTATTTCCTTTTATACATTTCATATGAAGAACATAAAATCAGCTTCTATTTGGGCTTCCAAGAAAATTAAAGCTTTTCCCAAAATTTCATTTTTACTGCTTATAATTTATTATAAAATTTATATGCTCTCTATCTCACTGTTGAAGTGACTGGGCAGCTTTCAATATGATAAGTATAATACTCATTCCCATCTTGCACCAAATCATGGTTTGCATAAACCACAAATTGGTTGTATGGATGCTAAATGATGATCTGTGAAACATAGTGGCTAGAATCCACTTCCATCAGCAAGCAAATGACACTGTGGTTAGCAGGATGGCTCAGTCAACATTTAGTAACCCATACAGTAAATTGTTATCACTATTTACGATATTTCGTTTGCTCTCTCTCCACATTAGCTTGAAAAATAATTTCTCAACTTCAACGAAAACATCCTTGGCATAGGAAAGGGGAGTAGTACGTCTAGTCCCCCCCCCGAATTTAACTTTTTCAGATTCTCCCTTTCTTGCCGTCGCCTCCGCACCTTCTATCGGAGGCAGCGGGATGCAGAAAGGGAGACAGCTCGTCCGATTGTGGATCCCCTCGCCTGGAGCTGAGAAGGAAAACGAGATGGGAGGAGCTTGAAGCCTCTGAGATACAGCAAGATACCCAATGCAGTAAAAGCTCTCGACGCGAGCGGAAGCCGGCGGCACACAATGCAGCACTGAGGCGGTGGCGAGGAGGCGCCTCTCCCGCTAGCAGCAGCAGCAGCAGCAGCCTGGCCGTAGGAGCGCCCTTCTTCTCCCTCTCGCAAATCGCCTTGTGATCCTCGCTTCTCGCGGGCAGCTCACCTTCCTCTCCCGCCACTTCTCCCAAGAGGCAGCCATGCACATCGCGACTCCTCTGCTCTCCTTGATGTTCTGGACCGTCGGAATGCGCTCGGAAGCTCGCTGCGGCCGCTCAGGTAAGACCCTCCTTACCTTCGCCCGGCGGCGGCCACTGGGAAAGGGCTGTCGCTGTTTGCTGGACCTGCTGGGGAAGAGCTCGCCTTGCCAGGAGCTCGTCTTCGAGGTTAGGTGACTCTCGGCGCTGCAGTGTGCAGCATCCCAGGCGCCGGCCCGGGAGAGAGGAACCAGGGTTAGCTGTGTGCTGTGCGCGCATGTGGGAAAGAAGCTCATGGCAAATATCGCACACGTACACACACTATATGTATGTAAGATGGAGTTGGCCTTTGCTTTCTGTCTCCGAAGTGGAAAGCAACTGCCTCATTATGCACCCGCGCCCAGTTACCGAGGGTCGTCGTTATGAACCGAACCCTTCCTGCTGGAATTGGTTGACCGCTACCGTCTCCCCTCCCCTCCCCACCCCCAGGAGACACCTTGTTGACTGAGATGGAGAGAAAGGCTGCGGATCGCTTCAGGGAAAAACAGAAGAGCGTCCCTTTTCGGCTCCTCTATAGTGCCAGTGAAGGCAACGAAACTCCTCACGACCTGCTCGACACTCGCATCGGCCATAGCTCTGTTGGGAAGCAGGTAAGCGACGCCAGCGGCGGAGTAGGCAGCTAGAGGCCCGCCTGCTCTGAGGGATTTTTCTGTTGCTCGGAGACGGGCGCTTGGGAGGCGGCGGCGCCGCCGGCGGACTCTTCCAAAACGCGACTCCGCGCCTGATGCGCCATGCATAGAAATTGCAACACGCGGGGAGGGAATGTAGCCATTTATTCACAGCGATCCGAGGTCAGCCCCCCCCCCCCAAAGCCAGGTGTTGTTGTCTGGATGAATTGAGACTGCACTGTCAAGCCCCCTCTTCCGGAAGCCCTGCTGCAATCTTGGGGTTAGGAATACTAGAGTCTCCATGTATCTGGAGAAATGCATTTAATGGGGATATTTTTTTAAAATCACGATTGAACTTTGGAATTTCATGGCAGAAATGCTATTGGGAAAGAATAAACCTTCAGATGAGAGAGTTGTTGAACTTGAATGTATGTGTGTGTGTGAGAGAGCCTGTTTGTGTCTCTTGTGGAAATGTGACTACCTATACAGAAATATGCATTTTCAGCAAGATGGAGTTGGATTTGGCAGCAATATACATTTGTTCTACCTAAAAGCAATCCTGGAAGACCTCTGGGTGCTCATTGAAAGCTTTCTCAAGTGCCTCCAATCAATGGTTGGCAATGCCTTTCCTAACTTCCAGACAGGATGTTCTGTAAGAGCATTAAACTTCTACAGAAATCTGTGTTTCTTTGAATTACAGAGGCATCTATGATCTCATTTTGAATATAAAATGCTTATGTTTTCCTCTCATCTGGAATGTATTTGAGAGCTTCGTTTTTAAGAGAGTTTAAAAGAAGATTTTGATACTCAGAAACCTATTTGAAACCAACTTTTTAATTATTCAATCTTCAGTCCTTTATACATTTAACTCAAAGAAGTATCCTTGAATTAAATGCAATTTTTTTTGAATAGGCCCACATAATATTGTGTGGTTTTAAGTTTGCAATTCTAAATACTTTTGAAAAATAATCAACCCCGCTGAATAACTATTTCATTCTAAGTTTACATAGGATTACACTGAAAGTTAAACTGAATGATTTTAAAATCAAAGGGAAAGAGTGCCTCAGTGTGTGTGTGCACACACTGTACACAGTTGTAAAATGTGATCCAAGGAAAAGATGCAACTGCGCTAAGAAGGTTGCTATATGAGAAACACTGTGAATATTGCACAGGCCTAGAATTTATACTATCAAAGTAAGTCTAAAAAATTAATTCAAGTTTTTTTTTTGGTTAGAATTAGTTCAGATTTAGTTTGCAATAGACAAGTGTACATGACATACGTCTATTTACAGGACTTATAGGCCCATCAGTGATGCTTCTAACCAGAGTAGTTTATAAGCTCTTGTAAAATTAAATAAAATAAATCAGGAGAACAAAGAGCAGAATAACACTTTGAAATGTGTCCTCTAACTCTAAATTAATCAAAAAGACTTTGAAGTAAAAATATTAATTAGAACTTGTAAGCCCTGTGCATTTGCAGATTTAGTATGTTTCATCCAGGTCATTGTAAGTGCAGAGTGCAGGACCCATAACTGAAACTTGAAGCAGTCCATTCCAGTTTGATGTGGACATATTGATAAGCATGTTCTGAGTAAAATTTTTGAACTAGTGGTAGATCTATCAAATAAAATTGCTATTCTTGCGTACTTTGACAAATATTTTGCTGTACAGTAGTTAAGATATATAATTTCCATATAATTTTTCCAATTATTTTCATAATTCAGTAATTTAAGTTAATATTCACAACATAAGCTAGGCAGCAGCACGTAATGGTGATGGTATGTGAGAAAGAGCCTAAGAAATGGGGCAAAGAAATGCTGCCTGGGGAATGGCAGATAAGAGAGGACATAACCTACAGGGATTATATAATAAGTGGAGAAAGAAGGTGAGGATGGATCCTTCTTAATTTCTCACACTGTAAAAGAGACTAGAGGAGACTGTCAGAGTAGCCTTACAGTAAAATAGAGTAGCTCATCTCGTTCTGTTTCCTCTTGGTTTATCTGGAAAGGCTGGCATCAGTCTTGCAATCTCATAATCTCTTCTGAAAGGAGTTTTAGGAATCCTCAAGGAATTCCACTATCTGTTGAAGATCCAATTGCTATGTTGTTGCAATGCCAGCAGCAAGTGAATGCACAGATGACCAATTTGCAGACTGCCATGATACAACTGTACAGCTGGCAGAATTTGTCTCAACCTGCGGCAGTTCAACAGATGGTAGCTTAGTTAATATTCTTGTGTTCCCATGGGAGCTTGAACCTGGAGAGGTGACCAGAGTCAAATCTGGGCATTCACTGCTCAATATAAAATGTTTATGGCCAGTGGAGTTTCCCACATTGCACCAAAGTGACTTTTGTATTGAGTTTGCTGAAGGAGACAGCAACTATGGGCTATGTCCCCAATTATCTGACTATTCCTTAGGCAGAATCTCTTCTTTTTTTCAAGTTCTTTCTCACATGCCATCACACAACTTTCAAAAAAAGCTAAACAGGTCAGGTCTAGTGTGTACCTGCATGGAAAATGAGACCATATGCTAGATGGGAAAGTAAAAAAAAAAAAAAAATGGATAAAAGTAGTAACTCACTCTCTCTCATCTCTATACTCCGTCTCTCTCTCTCTCTCTCCCTCCTCCCCCCCCCTCTCTCTCACACACACATTCCTATGGCTGCCTTCTCACATGAAAGTAAAACCTATTGTTGCCAAGAAAATAATATGAACACCTTCATGTATTCATCTGGAGCCAAATCTGCTGTCATGAACAAATCCAAAGATGACACAGTGAAATCCAGTCAAGTCCAGTTCTTTATTTGCTTACACCTACTCAATAGATTCTTACCAGATTAAAACTATAACCCTCTACCCTAATAGAGGTTAGTCTCTCCAACCTTAGAGCTTTTGAGGTGTGACTACCCTGAACTTATTCCTCCCTCCCCAGTCAAGCTTGGGACTGTACAGTTCTTTAATTTGAGATTCTTTCTGGAATGTACTACCTCCTCCCTGGGAAATTGCACTGCTCTTGTGGGAATTACCCCTCCCCCCTTCTCCAGGTGCACATTCCATTACATCAGCTTTCTGTAACCAGATGTGTTCTATGTATATTGAGACTGTAATTCCCAGAATTCTCAGGGATTATTTGTATGAGAGAAATTGTATTACAATTTACTGTTGTAGTATAATTTATAGTGTACAATGCAACTTGTATTAATGCAAAATAATCTGTATTCCCAACACCATAGAGAGTATAACACTGAGAAAGCAGATCTATCGTATTGGGAAAAGCTGTTTTAAATAGCCCCTGATTAAGGTTAACCACAATTTATTACTCCAAGTCATGTGGCAAAGTTTAAAGCAAAGTTCCCATCTCATTCTTGGCTATGTTCAGTAAAAAGAACAGGGAGAAACCCAGAAAGACAAGATGCATTTTGGCTTGCTCATGTAATGCTAAATCAGGGTTTGGCAACTTCTTCTAACTCTTGAGTGACATTGTAAAAAAAAAATTGCTAACAATTACAAGATTGCGACAACTTTCATGAGGCTAACAAAATTTCACGGAATTCCAGTAATTAATAAAAGGAAGTATCTGCAATTTCTAGGCATTCTGGTGCTGATCAGCATGTTATGCTATGGAAACTCATGATCCATGGGCACTCCTTGCAACCCTGGTAATGTCAGTGAACAGTTATAATTCCTGCAGATTGTTGTTGGAAATAATAACATAGGACTCACCAGTCATAATGCTTTTAATTCCTTTTTAAACTTTGATTTAATACAGCACAAAATCTACCCCTTTTGAGATACCAGATTTCATTCCCCTTTCCCTACTTTTTAAAGAAAACAGAGGGAAAATATAGCTCCTGAGCACAAAAGAACTACTTGCCCTTAATATAATTGAATTTGATACATCACTAATGTAAAGCCCAAGTAAATGGATATCCTAAAATGGGTGTTGATATTTGCTCTTGCATTTACAGTGGATGTACATGGGGAGGTATTTATGCAGTTCAGATATTTATTAACCATTATACTGCTGACTACTGAAATCTTTATAATCTTTATAATACTTGTAATGAAACAATTATGCCAGAAATATTAAAACAGCGTGCTTTAAAAGCTTACTTTAAAATGTAGTTTTAATGCATTTTAAAAAGTCAACAGAGTTGTTAGGACCTTCATTTCTGCAGAAAGCTTAATCCAAAGGTCTTGGAATAAGTTAAGGAGAAAATTTGACTTCAAGTAGTCTAAGACAAATCTGTACTGCACCATCTCACTGGATCTGGATGCTTATGATGACTTCCTAATTCATGAATTTAGTGGGAATCTCACCGTGACAAATACAGTATAATGCACTTTCATTTTCTTGTAGCATGTGGCTATAGAAGGTAGGCTAGTTTCCCGTCTTTTTATGTAGAAAAGTATTTATGGTTTACTGAGATTAATTTATCTTAAGGACCTCTTTCTGTTTCTTCCCCATCCTACCCTGGGAAGTAGTCATACTTCAGTTTCTCAGCACTGCTGGTCATTTGAGGACTGAAGGGATATGAGTGTCACTGGAGGACTGACAAATTTTAACATGTGCATTATGTCACTTATAGAGTTGTATATGACTTTGGAAAGGAAAGGTCAGAATGTGTGCCATGTTGCAGTTCACATTTTATCAGTTTCCCATCATCACTTTGTACTGGCTCCATATATACAGGGTGAAGAGGTGTCCACAAACTGGGGTCAAAAACTTTCACACAATGATTATTAAGATGCTATTGAAGTATCATAGACTCTGATAGAACCATTGTGGACATCATCTTGACTTTTTTGATCATACCATGTGGATATCCCTAACAAGAAGATGAAAAAGTTACCCTGGAGGAGTTGCAAATAAGCTTTTAAAAATTGCAAAAAACCTGCACTTATTTTAGCCCTTATTTTATTCCAAGTAAGTTGCTAAAAATTGTTGTTTTGCTGCTGAATTTTACTGTTGTGATCCTGCA